AATGGGCAACATGCCCAACAGCAAATGTTGTCCCAAACCAACAGCGGCCGCTGTTGGGCAGGCGGCCTCCTGTCTCGAATGGACACAGGCCGCGGCGGCGTGGACAGCGAGCCCTGTTCAAACTGAACAAGATCCGCTGTTGGGCATTGTACCCATTCTTTCCGTACCCATTTCGTGCGCGCAGATCTGGAGTAGCAGGACATGCCCGGCTTGAGCGTCGCACCGGCCTCCTTCCTCGGCGCGGTGAAGGATGGGCCTGCTTTCCAGCACAGCCACCACCAGTTGGAGGGAGGAAGGAGGTGGAGGACGAGGAGGAGGAGGAGGAGGACGACGAGGAGGAGGAGGACCCCCCTTCCTTTTTTACGAAAGCTGGAGCAGCAGGACATGCCCGGCTCGAGCGTCGACCGCGGGACGGCGCCGACGGCCCCCCGCGCGCCTGCCGCCGCCCGCGGCCGCCCCCTCGCAGGCGGGGGGCAGCCCCAGGCAGAGCAGCAGCGCGGCGGCCGCCGCGGGCGCGCGGCCCGCCTCAGGGAAGGGGGGGGGGGGAGGGAGGGGGAGGAGGAGGAAGAGGAGGAGGCGGAGGAGGAGGAGGAAGGAGGAGGAGGAGGGAGGGGGAGGAGGAGGCGAAGGAGGAGGAGGGAGGAGGGAGGAGGAGGAGGCGAAGGAGGAGGAGGGAGGAGGGAGGAAGAGGAGGAGAAGGAGGAGGGAGGAGGGAGGAGGGAGGAGGGAGGAAGAGGAGGAGGAGGAGGAGGAGGCGGAGAAAGGGAGGAGAAGGACGAGGAGGAGGAATGGGAGTAGAAGGCGGAGTAGGGCGCCAGTCCAGCGTAAAACGGAAGAGAGTCTCGGGCGGGAGCGCTGGTTTTGTCGGGGCGGCGGTTTTCGGCAGCGAGGAGGGACACCGCCTTGAATAAGAAAGGAGGAAGCATCGAGCGGGAGCGGTGATTTTGTCGGGACGGGAGTTGTCGGCGGCGAAGAACAGCACCGTCTTCATGAACAAGGGACGAAGCCTCGAGCGGGAGCGTTGTTCTTGCTGGGAGCGGCGCCAATTCAAAAGAGAGTTGGGCGCCAGTCCAGCGTGAAACGAAACGAAGTCTCGGGCGGGAACGCTGGTTTTGTCGGGGCGGCGGTCTTCGGCGGCGAGGAGGAGCACCGTCTTGAGTAAAAAAAGGAGGAAGACTCGAGCGGGAGCGTTCTTTTTGCTGGGGGCGGCGCCGATGAGAGAAAGACTAGCGCGCCAGTCCAAGGTAAAACGGGAGGAAGTCTCGAGCGGGAGCGCTGGTTGTGTTAGGACGGCGGCTTTCGGCGGCGAGCAAGAACACCAGCCCTGAGTAAAAAAGGAGGACCTCTCGAGCGGGAGCGCTGTTGTTGTTGGGGGGCCCGTTTGGGCGGTCCCCAAAACCGCTCGAGCGTGAGCCTCATTTTCAATGAACATGTAGCCGGCGCCTCGGCGAGAGCGCCAAATTGCCTGTAAGGGGGCCAACAATAACAATTGCTTAGTAGTTACACACCATCAGCAACACGACAAAACAGGTCCTCCTCCTCCTCCTGCCTCATCTTCCTGCCTCCTCCTCCTCCTCCTCCTCCTCCTGCCTCCTCCTCCTGCCTCCTCCTCCTGCCTCCTCCTCCTGCCTCTCATCCTCCTCCTCCTCTCTCCTCCTCCTCCTCCTCCACCTCCTCCTCATGCCTCCTCCTCCTCCTCATGCCTCCTCCTCCTCTCTCCTCCTCCTTCTCTCCTCTGACTCCTCCTCCTCCTCCTCCTCCTCCTGCCTCCTCCTCCTCTCCTGCCTCCTCCTCCTCCTCCTCTCCCTCCTCTCTCTCCTCCTCCTCTCTCCTCCTCCTCCTCTGCCCCTCTCCTCCTCCTCCTCCTCCTCCTCCTCTCCTCATCCTACTCTCCTCCTCCTCCCTCCTCCTGCCTACTCCTCCTCTGCCTCCTCCTCCTCCTCCTCCTGCCTCCTCCTCCCCCTCTTCCTCCTCCTCCTCCTCCTCCTGCCTCCTCCTCCTCCTCCTCGACGGCACGGGCGCCCATCGCCGGAGGCTCGAGGCCGCAGTTCGGGGGCGGGCGAGGGCCAGGAGAACAACTGCTCGGGGATGGACAGACCCTCCTTTGGCAAAACGTGGTCTAGTGAAAACGACCTGAGGCCCAAACCTGGCGGGCGCAAGCCTGGAAAATAACGGCCACGGCGCCCTCTCGAGGACCGAAAACGGACAACTCACGAATCGACGTGTCACTGTTGGGGTATCTGTCCTCCCCCGAACTGTCAGGTCTGGGGGGGAGATGGGGCTGGGAAGATGCAAGGTAGGATCGGGTCGGGCGACAGGAGGGGATAGCAAAGGGGGGGTTTGAGAATCAGCTCACGCAGCTGATTTTCCCGGCGCCTCTCGGCGCCGGAGGCGCTTATGTACCGAGGAATGGGCCCCTCGGTGGGCCCGAAACCAGCTGCATGCAGTTAATTTCGGGCGTGTCCCCCTACAAGGGGATTTTCGACGAAAAATAAAAAAATACACCAACAATACTTCCAAATGGTAAAACAAATTATCAAAAACAGTCCCCAGGCTACTTTTGGACTATTTTGGGATCATTTTTGGGGTACTTTTTATTTTTCGTCGAAAGTCCCCCTGTAAGGGGACAGGACCGACGTAATGCAAGGTAGGAATGCGCAGTCACACCTTCATGGGGGAGACGTGGGACTCGTGTACGAGGGACTCGGGTTGGCCCGCCGGGGCCATCATAGAAATGACGAGGCCCAGGCTGAGATCTGACGCGAGCTCCCGCTACAAACATCCCACGAAGTCAAAATCCTGGACGCGCAAGTCAACAAAACGTCGGCGAACCCGAGTTCCGGCCTACTCGAGTCTTACGTTTCCCCGACTTCAACATGATCGTTCCTATGGATGAGATGCTCATGTCTCCCAGCCCGATCCTCCCAGCCCGATAGTTGTCTTTCTGGAGTGGGGGAATGAGGAGAACGCGTTCGCAGCAGGCGGCGGGATTTCTCAAAGCCCTCCGCCTGATGGTGAGTTTCTGGTGGCCTCGGGGGAGGCTCAGAGACAACTTCCCAGAAGGCGGGAAAGGCTTCCGACCCGTCGGAATAGGCCCGCCCCTCCTCACTTCCCCCCCCTCAGGGCTGGCCACCGGTCGAGATGACAAACGCGGCGTCGAGAACCCAAACTCTCTTTGAGTCAGCAGGCTCGGGTCGGGCGAAAGGGGGGGATAGCAAAGGGGGGGGTTGAGAATCAGCTCACGTAGCTGATTTTCCCGGCGCCTCCCGGCGCCGGAGGCGCTATGTGTCGAGGAATGGGCCCCTCGGTGAGGCCAAAATCAGCTGCATGCAGCAAATTTCGTAACCCCCCCTTGCCCAATCCCCCCCTTTCGCCCGACCCGAAGAGGAGGAAGAGGAGGGGGAGGAGGAGGAGGAGGAGGAGGAGGAGGAGGAGGAGGAGGCGGAGGAGGAGGAGGAGGAGGAGGAGGAGGCGGCGGAGGAGGAGGAGGAGGAGGAGGAGGAGGAGCTGTTGGAATGCAGCAAATTTCGTAACCCCCCCTTTCCCAATTCCCCCCCCTTTCGTCCGACCCGACAGGCGCAAAAAGGTGCGGACACGGTCCGGCGGCGCCGGTCGGGCCACGGGCGGGGCGCGCCCCGAGAGCTAACCGCGAGGCGCTGGCGCCGGGACAAAGGCAGGGGAGAAGAGAGCAGAAAAAGGCAGGAGCCGCTCGGAGCACGCGGCGAGAGAAGGATTTCAAAAAAAAAGATTGCAAAAAACAAAAAACCCTTGAACGAAGGATTGCAAAAAAAACCAAGGATTGCAATCCTTTGCAATCCTTGGTTTTTTTTTTTTGCAATCCTTCGAGCACGAAGGGCACAAGTAGGTTCCTGCACAACCTGGGCTGCTCTTCTTTTGAGGGGTGGACAAAAAACGGCCCTGCCCTGGGTTACAGGTGCATGGTCTGCAAACCTCCTGGGACCCCCCAAAGCCTAGGGCCGCCCAGGACGCGGCACATCACGCAGGGTTTACCCTGTCAGCCCACAGGAGTTTCAGCGCACAGCGCCTCGTAAACCAGGGTAGGGGCGTTTTTTTATGCCCTTGATTCTTACCCACAAAGGGCAGGAGTGCACGGCAGAGTTTCGTGTTGCTGAAAGTCAGCAGCGGTTACCACGGGGCTGGCAGAACTCATCACCAGCGTAACGGCCAGGTGCAACCACCTCATCCATAAGCAAGACGAGAGCTCATCCAAGCGCAGCCCCTTCAAAGCAGGCTGACAGCTCAGCAGCGTCGATGGGCTTCATCGGCGCCGCCTGGCGATGTTCCCGCCGACTTCTGTGTGCCCGCGCCAGGTTGTGTCTTGACCGGGCGTAGGCAAGAAGCGACGCCTCACAAGACCACCTCACCAGACCTCAGGTGCCCGCCCGGGAGACACGACTGTCACTCTGGATCGTCGCGCGGCGGTCACAGGGCCGGGAAGCGCACCCCCCCCCCCGGAGACCGAGCCCTGCGAACAACTACTCCGTGTTGATCTTCTCGAGACGTTGCAAGTCTGGACTCTTCTCGTCATCCTCCCCCGCCACCGTGGCGGAGCTTGAGGCTCAGTGCGGCTGACGCGAGAGCGCACGAAGGAACAAAGTATCTGAGCCTGGGGCAGCGGCCTCGATGGAGCGTCGTGTCGCAGGTACAGCCCAGCCCGCCCGCGGAGAACCACGATGTGCCGTTCACCTCCTCCTCATCCTCCTCCACCTCCTCCTCTTCCTCCTCCTCCTCATCCATCTCTTCCTCCTCCACCACCACCTCCTCCTCTCGTCGTCCTCCCCCTCCTTCTCCTCCTCCTCCGCCTCCTCCTCCTCCTCCCTCCCTGCCCCCCTGCCCCTCCTCCGCCCCTCCCTTCGCCTCCTCCACCGCCTCCTCCTCCTCCTCCTCCGTCCCTCTGCCTTCGCCCCCCCCCCCCCCCCCCCAATGTCGGCGGGACAGGCGGAGGAAGCTCGGGAGGCGGGCCAGGGGACCCTGGAGGGCCCCATGTTAGTCAGCAGCTTCTGACTGGCAGCAGGTGTCTGCTGATTGCATCGGCATCTAGCCGCCCCGATATGCAACACGCGACGGGTAGCCTGTTGCCACGGCGCTCAACACGTAGACCGAGCACGTGGGTCTGATGCGACACGGTCACAAAACGTTGGCAAATACATTGAGCCAACACGGAACGCATCGACACAACCGTTCTGAGCACGGTACGTGTTGCGTATCGGAACGAGCGCGTCGTGGGCCCTGGAAACGGCAAGGCCGTCTTTTCACAACGTTCCACACAATGGCTCTTGAAAACGACAACGACCGAAAACGGCAACAAACATGGTTCCGGAATTGGAACTAGAACGGGAACCCCAATAACAAGGCGACGGAACTGGCACGAAAACGGCGACGGAACCAGCAACAAAACAACGGCAACACGAACCAGGTACGAGCGTACAGAGGCAGCTAAGCTTAGGTCGGGCACGTCCCCCTACAGGCGGATTTAGGGCGAAACTCGAACAATATCCAAAACATATTCAAACATAATAAAAAATACTCGGAACATCGTCCCAATTTCATTGTTTCCCCACATCCTAAGTGGGGTTCTTGTTTTCTCTGCACACCCTCCGCGCAGGATCTCTCGTCCTCATCCCTCTCCTCTGCTCCTCGTTGCTTCTTCCTCCGCATCATCATCACCATCACCATCACTCCCCACTCATCATCATCATCGCCATCAGCATCACCATCACCATCGCACGATCACTCACCATCATCGGCATCGAACGATCATCATCATCATCATCACCATCACTACTCGCTGACTCACCACTTCGTCCCCATCATCATCACCACCATTTACCATCATAATCGCACGATCACTCACCATCAGCACTCATCATCACCACCATCATCATCATCACGTCGTCATCATCATCATCATCATCATCATCATCATCATCATCATCATCATCATCATCATCATCATCATCAATCATATATCATCATCAAACACCGTCGTCATCATCCCATCACCATCATCCACCAAGAGGGAGCCTCGTCTGTGAGTGAATTGTAAGGAAGTCTCAGGCGGGAACCCCCTCCCTATGGGGCCCGCAGATCACGTTACTAATCCGAGCGGGTCATCGGATTCCTGTAACTGTCGTCACTTTTGGGCTCTTCAGGTCTGAATTTGGAAGAAATATCAAGCGGGAGCCTCGTCTGTGAGTGAATTGCGAGGAATTCTCAGGCGGGAGCCCCCTCCCTATGGGGCCCGCAGATCATGTTACTAATCCGAGCGGGTCATCGGACTCCTGAAACTGTCGTCACTTTTGGGCTCCTCAGGTCTGAATTTGGAGGAAGTATCAAGCGGGAGCCTCGTCTGTGAGTGAATTGTGAAGGCGCGTCAGGCGGGAGCCCCCTCCCTATGGGGCCCGCAGATCATGTTACTAATCCGAGCGGGTCATCGGATTCCTGTAACTGTCGTCACTTTTGGGCTCCTCAGGTCTGAATTTGGAAGAAGTATCAAGCGGGAGCCTCGTCTGTGAGTGAATTGTAAGGAAATCTCAGGCGGGAACCCCCTCCCTATGGGGCCCGCAGATCATGCTACTAATCCGAGCGGGTCATCGGATTCCTGTAACTGTCGTCACTTTTGGGCTCCTCAGGTCTGAATTTGGAGGAAGTATCAAGCGGGAACCTCGTCTGTGAGTGAATTGGAAATCTCAGGCGGGAGCCCCCTCCCTATGGGGCCCGCAGATCATGTTACTAATCCGAGCGGGTCATCGGATTCCTCTAACTGTCGACACTTTTGGGCTCCTCAGGTCTGAATTTGGAGGAAGTATCAAGCGGGAGCCTCGTCTGTGAGTGAATTGTGAGGGCGCGTCAGGCGGGAACCCCCTCCCTATGGGGCCCGCACATCATGTTACTAATCCGAGCGGGTCATCGGATTCCTTGGGATCCTCAGGTCTGAATTTGGAAGAAGTATCAAGCGGGAACCTCGTCTGTGAGTGAATTGTGAGGAAGTCTCAGGCGGGAGCCACCTCCCTATGGGGCCCGCAGATCATGTTAGTAATCCAAGCGGGTCATCGGATTCCTGTAACTGTCGTCGCTTTTGGGCTCCTCAGGTCTGAATTTGGAGGAAGTATCAGGCGGGAGCCTCGTTTGTCAGTGAATTGCGAGCAAGTCTAAGGCGGGAGCCCCCTCCCTATGGGGCCCGCAGATCATGCTACTAATCCGAGCGGGTCATCGGATTCTTGTAACTGTCGTCACTTTTGGGCTCCTCAGGTCTGAATTTGGAAGAAGTATCAAGCGGGACCCTCGTCTGTGAGTGAATTGTGAGGACGCGTCAGGCGGGAGCCTTCCTATGGGTCCCGCAGCTCACGTGGTTCCTCCGGGTCATCCTCCGGCGCGCGCTTCCTCTGGGTCGTCCTCCGGCGCGTATCGGCTGGGACGCACGTCGTGCGCTTCCTCTGGGTCGTGTTCCGCACGAGGACGAGGAGGAGGAGGATTGCCAGGAAAAGGAAGAGGGATGATGCAGGACGAGACAGGAAAGCAGGAACAGGAAGAGGCTGAGGGGAGGAAGGACGAGGAGGAAAAGGAGGAGGAGGAATGCCCGAGGAGGCCCCAGTAGGTCCCAGAAGGCCCAGAAGGCTCCAGGAGGCCCCAAGAGGCCCCAGGAGGCCCCAGGAGGAGGCAGGAAGCCTAAGGAGGAGGCAGGAGGAGGAGGAGGAGGAGGAGGAGGAGGAGGAGGAGGAGGAGGAGGAGGAGGAGGGGGGGAGGAGGGGGGAGGAATATGGAAACGAGGAGGAGGAGGAGGAAGCGGATGAGGGAGAGGGAGAGGAGGAGGACAGGGGATGAGGAGGAGGAGGAGGAGGAGGAGGAGAAGGGAGAGGGAGAGCAGGAGGAGGAGGCAGGAGGCAGGAGGGGCAGGGGGAATGGGGGGGAGGAAGCATAACGAGGGGGAGGGGGAGGAGGTGGAGGAGGCAAGAAGAGGAGGAAGAAGCAGGGGTTGAGGCAGGAGGAGGAGCAGACAGGAGGAGAACGAGAAGGCAAGGGTAGGTGGGAGAAGGGAAGGGGCAGGAGGATACCCCCATGCAAGCTAAAGAGATTCTCATGTGGGGTCCTTCCGTCGGAGTAATTCTTGAGATTTTGGATGTTCCTCCTGTCGAAGGACATGCCCGACGTAAAGCTAAGCACCGGCAGTGCCGGACGAAGCGAGAATCCACCAAGAGAGGCCATCGGACACCGCTCTCACTTGAGACGGGGCGCTCCACTTCGAGGGCGATGCCCTTTTTCAGCGCTCCATGCCATTCCCCGTGGGTGCCCGAGGGGGAGGAGGGGGAAGGAGGGAGAGAGGAAGCTGGACGGAGGGGGGCGGATGAGGACAGGAAGAGAGGGAGGAAGAGGGCCTCGAGGGAGGCAAGGGGAAAAAAGAGAGGAACAAGGGCGGAACGTGACGCTAGAGGAGGGAGGAAGGACCATGGGTGGGCATGAGGAATGAGGGGAGGGGTGAGGGCACGACACGGGAAGGGGCAGTGGGATCGTGGTGCTCGGAGGCTCGTCGAGGTGCTTACATCTAGGAGAAGTCCCCCAGCGCAAGATCGTCGAGTTCAGCTAACCCCCCTGATACAACACATCGAGGAGGAGGAGGGGGAGGAGGAGGAGGAGGAGGAGGAGGAGGAGGAGGAGGAGGTGGTGGAGGAGGAGGAGGAGGAGTGGTGGTGGAGGAGGAGGAGGAGGAAGCCACAGCGGGTGGACAACAGCTCACCGCGGGGGGGGGGGCACCAGAAGCGAGGTGTGTTGGCACTCTCGGCACGGCCTCTGGAAGCTGCTGCGCCCTGCACAGCTGCCCCCCCGGGACACGGCAGAGAATCGGAAGCTGGGCGAGGGCTGGCAAATCCGCGGCTGCTAAAACGGTCTTCCTGGAAGAAACGAATAGACTCCCGGACAAAACGCTCAACGCACTAAGTAGCAAACAGGCTGCTTCCCGGAAGAAAAAACAATTTCCCGGAGCTCCGTTTTAGCAGCCACGGGTTTGCCAGCCTTCGCCTGGCTTGTGAGAGAGGAGAACGCGGACTGCAATGCAAGGGCGGACAGAGGAAGAAGCCACGCAATCCCTGGTGCGTGCCGCACTGCCGAAGCAACGATATCATCGGATAGCGGCACTCGTACGAGATGTGACGGGGAAGAGGAAGGACGGGGTAAGGAATCGACGGTGGAAACCGATATCTGGGCATCCTCGCTGGGACGAGCCTGTTTCCGCAGACTGAGCCTAGCACCTCGCAGGATATATGCCCAAGATTTGGGTCAAACTTTCTAAAGAGACATCGCCAATACATCGCGTAAGCCGTAGAGGCCCCATTGCACATCCAAGACTGCCCAAGATGGCCTCTCGTCCCCGAAAGGGCAGCACAAACACTCCGAGATGGCCCCACTGTGCGCCATGAGGGCCCCAAGATGCCTCAAGGTGCCCCTCCTATCAAAGAGGGCCCAAGGTGGCCCCAAGCAAGCTGGCTCCAAGACGCCTCGAGGAGACCCGAACTGGCCCCAGGTGTGAGACCCAAGACGGCGCCCGGGGCCCCGGGGCTGTCCAAAAAAGTCGCAGCCAGGGGTGCCGCAGCAAAGAGACCAACCCTTCAGATGAGGATATTGGTCATGCTGGCTCGCATGGTCCGCTGGCAATTCAAAGAAAGAGGAAGACCTACCGCATCTGACAGGTAACCAACTCTCCGCTCCGTCCTAAACCGTATCGATGACAACGTGCCGTGGCGTAGCATCATCGTGTACTGACGCGCCACACGGTGACAGTTGTGTCACTCCCGCCCCCAGGAATGCGACCGAGGATCAGTCTGAATTCTGCGTCACTGGGGTGCAATAATAGAACAAGCCGTCGCGGAGCCCCAAGGTCGAAGGGTTCCGAGTCAAAGTGCCTTGAAAGGAGTTGCCGCACATGCTCTGCTGCAGTTGTCACAGGAAGAAGGCTGGCCTTGAAGCCCCATATACAAGATGTCATTGACCACGTTGTTGCGTGCTGCAGGGGCTGAGAAACATGAGTCGCCGTGGATGACCTGCGAGAGAGGCGAAGCAGACAACGCAATGCTGGCCCATCTCGTGCCATTAATTCTCCGGCCCAACTGGCCAAATGCGTGCTAGACTCGCCCGTAAGAGCTGCTCAAATGTTGAATCCTACTCTTTCGCGCGTGCGTGCGACGGCCCAAAAAATCATGTGACCCTGGTCAACCCCCAGCCATGCCGACGCAAGGATGACAAAACTTCTGGGCGAGGCCGCAATTACGAACGGCACCTCCAAGATGCGTCCCACACGGCGACGTGGGTTTTCCAAACCGCCATGTGGCCTCCAACATGCTTCCAGGTATCAATCGGTGACCTCCAATAACGTGTATCAATCGGTGGCAGTCCTTCAAAAAGGGCCTAGCACAGCCCGATGCAGGCCCCAAGGTGGCCATGTATAGACCACGACAGCCTGAGAGCGGAGATCGATGAGTGGAAAGCCAAACTGTTGCCTCAAAATAGTCCAAAGAGGCCCCAAGTTTGTCCCAAGGGTGGCCCAAGATGGTCCAAGGCAGAAGGCCCCCTCGACAAGCCCGACTCTTGGAAACGCCAACGCGTGCTTGTTCAACGATGTTGGCTTCCTCGCCGTTGCGCCTCCAACTTGCTTCTGAAGTCTGCAGACGACTCAAGCATCGCTCGAGGTGGCCCCAAGGGCAGCGCACAGAGGGCTCCGGGAGGACCGCGGCGGGCCCCCCAAGAAAACGCTGCGGGAGCGCCCTCCAGGAGCCGGGCCCAGGAGCGCCCTCCAGGACCGGCCACAGACAGGGATCGTGTGGGCGGCGGGCGCGTCACCAGAGGATGCCTTGAGTCTGCGGCGCGTGAGCCACCGCCACGCGGGCTGGAAAGAACAGCGCTCACACGGTGAAGCACAGCTAGGACGTCGCGCGATCTCGAGCACTGCACCTGCCCCTCACTACTGGCAGCTGGAGCAAGTCCTCCCCGATACGAAGCCTCTTGGCAGCCCTGGCCTCCCGAATGCCGATGGACAACCACGTCTTCTTCACTGAGCCCGCACTTGAGCACACCTCTCGGCAGCAGCCTGAAGCTTACGGGGTTTGCGGGGGTATCAGTTGGAGGCGAAGCACACATCTTTTCACGCGATCGCAGTCAACGACACCACAATCAAGTAAACGTGTTCTTCTTCGGCGTCCAGATATTGGGCAGAAGGGGGGGGTGGGGGGAGGCTATCTGGCTCCGGACATCTGCTGAACGCGACTGATTGCAACAATGCGTCCGAGAGGGGAGACACCACCTGCTCGAAGGGGGCGCGAAGAAAGCCAATATCTACTCCATGGAGGGTGAAGGACCCCACCTGCTCGACGCAGGCGCGAGATCTACTCCGTGGGGTGGGGGGGGGGAGGACTCCACCTGCTCGAAACAGGCGCGCAAAACAGCCGAGATCTGCTCCGTGGGGTGGGGGGGAGGGGGGACCCCACCTGCTCGAAAAAGGCGCGCAGAACAGCCGAGATCTGCTCCCGGGGGGGGGGGGGCTGCGCGGGCCCGCGCCCATCGGCGAGAGACACTGCCTGCGAAAACGTGAAGTCAAAAGGCAGCCTCGGACAGGGCGCGCGGTCGCCCTCCGGCGCCCCCCCGGGGAGCCGGGGAGCTCGCTGGGCCGGCCGGGCACCGCAACCCCCCCCCACGTTCCAGCAGGGGAGGCGGGGATGGGGGGGCGCAAGAGACGCCCGAGCGGCACCTGGGCACGGGGCCCAATAATTCACACCACCACCACTCCTCCTCCTCCTCCTCCTCCTTCTCCTCCTCCTCCTCCTCCTGCCCTCCTCGTTCCCCTCCTCCTCCTCCTCTTCCTCCTCCTCTTCTTCGTATTCTTCTCCTTCCTCCTCCTCCTCCTCCTCCTCCTCCTCCTCCTCCTCCTCCTCCTCCTCCTCCTCCTCCTCCTCCTCCTACTCCTCCTGGACCTCCCTCCCCGTGCCCCGCCCCCTCCCCCAGGAACGAGGAGGAGAAGAGGAGGGTGGAGGGGGGAGGGGAGAATGGAGGTGCTGGTGGAATATATGATTGGAACCCACAGCCACCATCTCCCCGTCCGCCTCCCCCTCCCAAGAACGAGGAGGAGAAGAGGAGAGCGGAGGAGGGGGGAGAGGGAGTAGAGGTGGTGGTGGTGGTATATATTCTCGGGGCCCGCCAAGGCCAGAAGAACATCCCTCAATCACATGAGCCCCTCAGCCGGCCAAGACAAACAGATCGTCGAAGTTCGCCCTCCCCAGGATGCACCAGAACATCAAACAAGCACGAAGAACACGAGGAGACCCTCTCCGAACCGCCGACGCACATTCGATTCGAGATCTTCAGTCATGGCCTGAGAAAAGGAGGCAGTGGCACCAGCGCGCGACACATGTGTGGCCACGTGATCAGCGATCTCGGCACAGTGCTGTCCTACACGCGCCCTCGCGCACTTGCGCTGCGTACGCCCGTGCGCCAGATCTCCCCACTGCAAGGTGAAACACGCGTACCAGCAGGGAGCTCGTCTATGAATTGCACCTGCCAGCCATGAACTCCACGAAAATGGCATCATCCGTTTCGAACTGGGTGTTCGCTTGCACACACACACACATAGTATGACCCAGGACAGTCCGGGCATGCCGACCTGTGTGCTGGACAACCTCGCTTCAACAGTTGCAGCCGGATTAGTCACCATCGACATACGCAACGCGCCCCGTGAAAGCATGGCCCTGCTCGCCCTCCCCGGCAGTGATGACACCACGTATAGGCAGCCCACAAAGGACGTACGCGCCAAGCTATGTACATGAACACGGCCCCTCGATCCGCGAGACCGGCCGCGCTATACGAACATTTGTGCAATGCGTACTCTCGAAACCAGCGTGGGTTCATGTACATGTACGTCCTTCTTTCGCTCCTGAACGTAGGCAGCCCCACGAAAGCATCGCCCTCTGCGCCCTCCCCGGCAAGTGAGGATGACAACGCTGGCCCCGGCTCCTCCCCCTCGCTGGGAGATCCGCACGGCAGCGCGGTGGCACTGCGGAGCTCCTCCACGGCCCTCGAGGGGGCCGTGGCCACGGACAGGGCCGCCTGGGCAGCCTCGTCGATTGGCGGCGCGCAGAGGGGGGTAGGGGGAGGGGGGAAGGCTTCTTAGAAGCACCCCTGCTTCTTAGAAGGTGCGGGCCTTCTCTGTAGATGTAAGGCCGGCGCCTTCTAAGAAGCAGCCTCCTTCTAAGAAGCCTTCCCCCCTCCCCCTACCCCCTTCTGCTCGCCGCCAAGTCGAGCCTGACGCCCTCGAGGCCGGTCGGAACGTCCGTGCTCTCAGCCCACGGCTGCGGCAGCTTTAAGCACTCGCACCAGGGACCCAGACCTTGTGCTGATGCAACACTGGGAGGGGGGGGGCCCAGAGCAGACCCTAGCCCACCCGTTCTCGCCATCGCTCGGACGCGCATTCCCCGAGCATGCTCTGGTTTCGCGCGTGCTTTGTTCCGCAGGGTGACCCAGAATGCTCCTCGATGGTCCCTGCCGAGAAAACAAACGAGCACGTCGGAGCGAAGTTGTCGAGCGCTGAGGACGAACCTCTGGAGCTACCCTCGAACCCTTGGGATGCCCGCGCACACCCTCGCCAGCACATACAGAAACAGCACTAACGTGACACTGGTGAGCTGCACTGCCTACACTGACCCCCCCTCCGGCGGCAGCACGCAACTGGAGAGCAAATGTGGCGGGATGCAAGTCCGTTCTTCAATATGCGTGTGTGTGTGTACACACGCACGCGCTCAAACTCACAACATTGCTTGCAACAGACGGCATAGGCTCCCGCACTTGCACGACCTGCGGCGGCCAATTGTGTGACGACCTGCCGCGGCGCTGCCTGGCCCACGGCTGGCAGGGAAAGAAGCTGCTCGTGCGAAAGCTCTAGCGCCAAGCGAGCGCTGAGCGAGCAGGAACGGCTCGCCGACTCCGAAAGGGTCCCAGCAGCCAGCGGAACGCCTGGATAAACAACAGAAGCTGTAGTGCTGGCAGCGCTGCGGCAGATCGTCCTCCTCATCCCGCCTGCGCCTCCGACGCACGAATAGGAGAAGAAACTGCTGCGTCAACGTCAACTTTGGAAGGTTCAAGCGGATTTCTTGGATCGCGGAACCATCTGGGGCGGCGCTGGGGACGCCGCCAGGGGGGCCCAGCCTGGATGCAAGAGATTCGCGCGGAACTCCCAGAGATTATGGTTATGCCGTCTGTCCTTCCTCGAGCGAAGAGACCCGACTCGCCCGGGCGTTGATACATGGGGGGCGATAGCTGGGGGGGGGGGAGACGTACAGCTTCCGTGCCCCTTTTGGGCCCCAGGGGGCCCCTTCAGGGCACAAGAGGTGCAGCTGTATCCACCCATCACTCGACACCCCCAATACTCGACGCCTTCCTCGCTTGCCCCGCCCCCCTGCCGGGCCTCCGAGCACGGCCCTACTGGCCGCAGAAGTTTTCTTTGGGGAGAATGGCGCGCAAGCTGGCGGCTTGAGGGCAGAGCGTGCGGCGGTTCGGCCTGGCCTGCTGCAGCCGCTGCCGCTGCTGCCGCTGCTCCTCCTCTCGAGGAGATGAGGGGAGACGGAGGAGGGGGGAGGAGGAGGAGGAGGAGGAGGAGGAGGAGGAGGAGGAGGAGGAGGAGGAGGAGGAGGAGGAGGAGGAGGAGGAGGAGGAGAGGAGGAGGAGGAGGAGGAGGAGGGGGGGAGACGTGCTCACGGGGGGAAGCATCGAACTGGAACCCGCGAGACATCCCCGACAGCTCTCGGCGGTGTGCCCCCCGGTGGGGGCGGGGGGCAGCAGACCCCTGTCGGCGACGGGCGGTGGGCGACTGGGGGTCGAGGCTTCCCCCCCTTGAGGCTTTCCACCCCTCAGCGGTGCCCCTGGGAGTGGTGGAGCAGGAGGATGCGTGTTTGGTTGACCCTCGTTTGGAAACCTCCCGAGGTCCCTGGAGGCCTCCAGGGTCCC